ACATAATTTTGAAGATGGATTTGTCAGTGTTTGTTTTCGACCTTCAAATGATAAAATATTATAAAATTAGAAGACGCTAATCTTATATTGCGTTTTCAGGTGCTATGGAAGATAAAGGTACAGAACCACTACGAGAACTATTAGTAAAAAATGGTGCATGGCCTGTAATAGACACTGTTTGGATTGAGTCAAATTTTAAAATAGTCCCAACACTAGTTAAGCTGCAAGCTATCAATCTAGATCCAATTATCAACATGTTTGTTTCTACTGACTTTAAAGATTCCTCCAAACGAGTTATTTATGTAAGTTTCATCCAATACTTATCAAGGTACACTACTCACGAAAAGCTAACACTGTTTATCAAAAAGTGAGAATAATAGTAGTTGGAATGGTCCGTTATTCAATATATCACCAAGAAATCGCCAAGAATTGAATCATGATTACTGATTCCTTCCCACTACTAGCCTAATTGATGATTTGAATCACGTGTTATTGTGAAACCGTTGATACATTCATTCTTTTAAAGATCGACCAACCTAGTTTTGGAATGCCTGGACGAGATTATTTTTTACGAGGTAGAGATGACGTTATGTTAAAAGCTTATGAAGAATACGGAATCAACTTAGCCGTTGAGATGGGGACCGATCGTCTTGCTGCTGAAGCCGACTTTAAAGATCTCGTAGATTTTGAAATACAACTTGCAAACGTAAGTACCTTAAAAGAACCTGAATAAAAGATTTTATTGTAATAAACTACTGTTTTATTTTCTCGGCATAGCATTAACGAGCACTATTTACTATATCTACTGGGTTACTAAGCGTTTGCACGTTTATTTTGTTGTTTAGGACAGATCATTTGTCGGTTTTAATCAATTTTAGATTTTATTCTGATTTCACAACGAATAAGTCCAGAAAATAATTAGTGGGCGTATTTTTTTCAACAAAACTATTTTCACATAATCATGTTGAAAAAAAAAATCACAAATAAAAGTCTTTTTTACAGGTATCGGTCCCAGCTGAAAATAGACGAGATGGTGAAGCCTTATACAATCCTTATACAATAGCAAATTTATCAGTGGCTTACCCTAATGTAGGTATACTTCATTTGAAGAACATGTAGTAATAGTTATACTGAAAGATTATCCTTTCAGTATTTGTGTTGATTGAAGTAAGATGACACAATAGCAATAAATATGAAAATTGTGTAGAATTGGTAATCGTTTCAGTTCTGAAAAGGAAAATAGCTTCTCTGGTCATTATTTCGACCTCTCGAAACATGTACGTCTACCTTTTAATAGAAATAATAGAGTTTACGTTAGATATATCTTTATTGAAATTGAAAAGCATCTAATTGTATAGAAAAGACCGTAAACTGCAGTGTCATAGATGAAACAATTAAAGTTGAATGAAAGA